ATGCGCGCCGCACTACTACTACTCCTACTCCTACTCCTACTCCTACTCCTACTCCTACTCCTACTCCTACTCCTCCTCCTCCTCCTACTACTACTACTACTACTACGACTACTACGACTACTACAACTACTAACTACCACTACTACCACTAGTACGACAACTACGACGACGACGACGACTACTACTCCTGTTGCTACAAGTACTACTAGTACTGCTACCACTGCTATACCTGCTACCATCGCGACGACTACGAAGACTTGAAGCCGACATGCACATTGCACATGCGATTCCAAACCGCTGTATGTAGCCCAGAAGAACGAACTCCTCACACAGTCTTGCAGGCTTCAGTTTCCGAACCTGCACAGACCACTAAAGCCCGAAGCTCTTTCAAGACCTAGATCGAAAGCATTAGACACAATACTACTGGCTCTCCGCAGGGATACCAAACCACATCATGGCTGTAGGGAGACAGCCATCACAGCAACACCCCCGTCATCACGACATGTTGTGCAGAATAACTTAGCCAAAGTCGATGACACTCAGATATGCCTCGTTGATCTCGTCCAGCAGGTCAAGAAAAATGCTCCTGCTCAGACCAACAGCATTGATGCCAGAACGACGCACGCACGAAGCCAAAATCGGGGAGCCCCTGAACGCCTAAGGATGGCGCCTGGACACTCTGCTCGCGGACCCTCCGTCTGCAACGCGAAGCCCACATCCGATGTCCGAGTGCTGAGGCCAAACTAGAGCTTACAAGGTCTCTCCTCATATGCGAATACTTCGATGCTGCGTGAAGCTCAAAGCAGCTACAAGTAGTGTCATATTGACATTTCCCGAACACCTGCGGCCATCATCGCGCTTCACACGAAGGAGGATGCCGACGATGATTGCCTTGGCTTTTCTTTTTTCATGCATCTGATTTTGGATGATTGCCCTCAGCGGCGAACATGCACCGCCGAACCCCAGGAAAATGCTTGCATTCGAAGACTAAGACATGACTGCCGGATACTGCCGGGTCGCCATGAGAATGACCGAGATGAGGTGGTTCTGTGCCGCGTCCTTCACCTGATACTCGTAAGATACACTGAAGTGCTTCTCTCAAGGTTGCAAAGCAGAGGCACATCGCCCAGCACTCTTGCCCGGTGTAGGGAACAGAGGTCGACATGTGTTCTTCGAGAATAAAGTGTGTGAGTGTGTGTGATCTGGAAAAGACTTTGAACACCCAGATGGCTTTCGTGCAGGATTCGATGAAATGTTAAGTCAAGTGCTGTGGCGAGAACCGCAAAACACCATGGCCCGATAAACATCGCAACGATTCGGAGGCATGACTTCATGTCGTGTAAGACCATGATACTGCAGATGCACTAGATGACAGGGTGCGAGACGAGTGCGTGCTCTGAAGCTCAGACCCAAGGGACTACATTTTTTGGAACCAGCTGGTCGAAGATGTTCAGAACTGTGTCCAGCATGGACATCTTCTCCAGCCCCGTCTCCTGGCGGTGTCACAGATCGTGGCAACGAGAATGGCGCAACGCGGTAGGTTTATCCAAAATTATCCTGAAGTCGAAAACGCTCCAGCCGCAGCTGCAGGGGCTAGCGACTAAGACCACGAACACACACACACACACAGCAGAAGCTCTCGAAGTGAATGGGGCATGTCAAGATGCATGAGCGATCGCCAGATTTCCAATTTAGCTACGTAATGACCATGGCAGGCTATCAAGCCAAATAACAACTCGACAGGACGCATTCTGGCTCTCCAGCCTTCGCTAGGGCCGCCTCCACAGGTTTCAAGGAGGTTCGCAGCAGCGTCCAAGAGATGGCAACGCCCTCCCAAAGCTGCAACTGGGATTGCTGGACTTCCGCTGACGCACAATCTGTTCTACTGGACTGATCCTGATGAACTAATCGAGTATGGCGCCCGTATTTCAGCAGAAAGCATGCATAGAGCAAAGCACTGCGACTCGTTGCCGCTGTAGCAAGGGTCTTGACGGTCGGCAGACCCAAAAAGCACAAAGTGGACCATGTGCTGCTCAATGCTGTGTTGCATGTCTAATCGCCGGTGTAGCTCTGCATGCTGGCAAAGCATGAGGGGATGAGGGGCGTCGATTCAATACACATTTACAATCCTTAAGGTATGGGTTTGTGTGGCCTACGAACGATGCAGCTAAGCATTCTCTCAGATTCCATCATCACGCAGCCTCAGAAGCCAAGGGGCCCTGCTGGCTGCGCATGTACTTCCCCGACCCCTCCCTCACCCACCTCCATAGCTGCCACAACCTGGGCGTCGGGAACTTAGGACAAGTTAGAGCGGCTTGCGTTGCTGTTGCCAGGAGGACGACGGCGACTTCAGCTGATGACACCGCTTGCAAGCACCGCGGACGTCCGCGCACCGGCAGTCAAATCCAGTTGTTGTAGTTACGTGGGTGGTCCTCTAAACTAGGGTCCCTTTTTGGGGGGTCCTTTTTGTCTGGGTGCCGTACTATATTGGGGACATAAGAAGTACCCGAACTTAGAGAACTACCCCGCGTGTAGTTCTCAGATCTGTCGAGAAAGACTCACTATGCCGTGCTTGTCCGTTGAAGACCACCACCCTACTTTAAATCTGCAACAGTGGTTCAAACAAGTCGTCAGCTATCGCAAATCACCAAATCACTATTGAAAGCCCGGCTGCCGTGGTGGTGGTGTAGAGCCCAATAACCCAGATGGCGGCACTGCGCGCGGCTGGAAGTTCGCGCATCATGACCTGGGCCGCCCAAAAACCGTCAGGCAGGTAGCCCTTCAAAGGGATGAGACGCGGCAGGCGGCAGGCAAGATACTGGGCGATGTAAGCCTAGGCCTTGAAATGTGTGCACGAGAAGGACGAGAAGTGGCTTGAAAAAGACCAGCACGACAAAGACTCAAGAAGCGAATTGCTTCCCAATGCTTCCCATGCTCTTATGTGGTGAGTCGGGCTTGGAAGTTTAAACCTCGGGCATGCCACTATCTTGATCGTCTGGACTCTGGCTCAGCCACGCGGACACCCATACGGAATCGCAGTCGTCACTAGATTCTCGTGTCAAAACCAGCCGAATTCCACAGACATCTCTTTTCAAGCTTGCCTTGCAAGCCTAGCGACCATGGAATGGACCATGCCACAAAAGATCATGGGCAGCACCACCTCAGGAAGGTTCCAGCAGCCAGGACAAGTCGCCGGAGTTCACTATGTAAGCCTACCTAGCACATTACCGTGCATCAGACCCTTCCCGCTTGTATGCAACATGCATCACGGAAGCGGAGATCCTATGGGATTCAATTCTAGTGGACAGGCTGACAGGAACCGATGGTGAAACGGTTGGTGCGACGTCAACGTGAAGTGCCGAGATGCCGACAGGCTTTGATTGATAGTTGCTGCGGCTACGACTCTTGCACATGATACCTTGATGTAGAAGCCATCCTGCTGTGTGGTGCGCATGAACGATTTGCTAGAGCAGTCCATGCGCGCAAGCGCTTGCACAAAACACAGACACAGAGAGAGAGAGAGAGAGAGAGAGACACACACACACACACACGCGCCCATTATTTTTGTGTATATTTAATTTACATACATACATACATACATACATACATACATACATAAGTACATACGTACGTACGTACGTACATACATACGTACAGACATACAGACATACATGCAAACATGCATACACATACGCATACGCATACACATACACATACACATGCACATACCCATACACACATACACACACACACATACACATACACATATACACATACATATTTGTAAAAGTGGGCATGCACCGAAAGAACCATTAGCTCAACTGCCTGCCGACACGTGCATGTATCTACACTTGCCTGTCCATCCGTCCATCGACTTGTCACGTGCTTAGGGCCCCGGTAAGTTGAGGCTGTGCGCCCTTCAACTGCGTGGAGCATCTCTTGAGCATGATACCAGCTCAAGCAACCTGTTGACTGTTTCGCATCACCTTGCAATCTTGCTGTGGACTTGGATGGACCCGCGCCAAGAAGCACATTTCAAGGCTTTCAGCCACAGCTTCCCAGGGAAGGCCAGGATTTGAAGGATCTCCGACTCTGCTGGCAGGTCGGCAGCCTTCACTCAGAACGGACAGGAACTCCAAACGAAAGGACCGGCAGCAATGAATGATAATGTTCTCGTTATCAGAGTCCTTGGAGCGGGTCTCTACCGTTCGAACTGCAGCAGGAAGGCTTGAATGCGGTATTGGAAAGCTTCCACTCACAGGTTCTTTGGCTCTTGGGGATGGGGGGTTCGCATCCATCGACCCGCTATGTTTGTAGACGGGCCCTGGAGGTCTTTGTAGACAAAACGGAGAGCAGGTCAGTGTCGCTTCGGTTCAGGTTTTTATGCATCCGGCATGACGTCATGAACCCTGCAGAGCCTTTAACCAAATCCTGATGGGCTCTGTTTGTATCTATGTGTGGAACTGCCTCGCAATCTATCGGCCAAATGCCGATGTTCTGAGACCTTTGTTTCTTCATGAGTTTTGCCACAGCACCAAGGAGAGCACGAGGCCAACCGCCAGGCCGATGAAAACCTGAGTTGGACATGGGCCCCATTTCCGCAAGCCTCTTCGTCAAAGCTGGCACAACAAGCCCGTGGTGCATGTGCAAACCTGCAGAATTTGTCTGACATTGGCACTTCCTCGTGCAGCCCGAGTTGCTCCAATGAGCACGCGCAGAGCCTCGCAGTGTCGGCAACTGCGAGCCAAGGGACAAGACTGCGCTGGCTTCTGCGGGTCCTGCCAAGGACATGAAGGGTTCGGGAGACTGCGTGGAAGATCGTTTCTCGACAGGCAACGCTTCTCCACACTACCAGTAGAAGCATTGAAACATAGCTTGCTTTCATGCGGCCTCTACCACCTCTGCTGTGCACTCGTGGCCATCAGCAGCCATGGGTATCGATACACCAATCTGAAGCGAACAACGAAGACCGGTACAAAAACAGCAGTGCTTGCTGCGAATGTGAGTGGCCGTCGAAGTGATACTGCGCAACTTCTGAACTGAATCTGCATAGACAGATTAGTTAACAATTCCTCACTGGGAAACGCTCATTTGCTTTGATCCAGACTCCCCTGCTGCAACTTTGATGAAACAAGCTCCGGTGAGTCTCCTTTGGTGAACTAGCAGCTGCAGACCTACATACAACTTGAGACCGGCCTTGATCCAAACCTACAGCCTACTACTGAACTGCTAAGCCCCACCGACCGAATCGAGCTGCCGACCGGTCGGAATGCATCTGCCTGCAGAAGCTCGTCCCACTCTTCTGGCTACGCTTCTATGTGGTGACTGCAGGCTTCCTCCTGCAGTCACATGCGGACAACAATGACCAGAACAGGTACATCAACGCAGGGACAAACACACGTACACACATCACACATGGATCCCGGGTACTGACTTAAGGCTTGGAGGCAGAAAGCACGGCAAGATTTCCGCAACTTCAAGACTCAAGGCCCCCTGTCTAGGGCCTGGGGCCTTTCCTCGACGATATCACAAGCTGACCTAGGATACGGGACACCTAGGAGTGCATCGAATGGCTGACTCAAAATTCGCCTGATTGAAGTTCGAAGTGTGATTCGCCATAATGTCCTGGCACCCTGCTTCTAAAGTTCGGCACTTCCAACTTCAGTGAGCTTCCAATTCCAGCTTGGGAAGCTGCAAGCAAGACCTTACGACCGTGTCCCAAGCCCTGAACGTCTCCTGATATAGGATGCGAGTTCCAACGCCTTGCCAGGGCAACTTTTCACCGATTCGCGATGTAACTGCCTTGGGCTTTCAAGTCATGGACGCCAACCTGCAGCTGGTCTTGCCTAGAGGCAAACCCTGGCCTTCGCATCCCACCATCTCTGAAAAACTTGAAGCAGCTGTGGCTGCGCCTCCGGGCATTTATCATGAAGCCGAGATGCCGAAGTGATGCGCCAAGGTTTCCAGTCAGCGATAAAATGGACCATGACTGCATTCTGCATGACCCACTCAGGGCTTTTCTGGAAATACTTTTGCCAGTACTGATAGATGCCATCGGTAGCACACCATTCTCCAATGAGCAGAGCATAGAAGCCATCAAGCACATCGGCTTTGTCACGAAAGTGGCTGTTCACCCAATCCATCTCGCTGTCCAGCATTCCCACAGACTTGTTCATTGGCACTGAGAAGTCCCGATCGAAAAAAAGCTTGCGAGGATCGAGAACCATCGGCCCACCACTTTGGACAAATGGCTGCTGCAGCCAATATGCCCGAGGTGCAGCTAGCTCAACAGGGAACTGAGCAATGTCAAACAAGTTCTCCAAGCTTCCCAGCGGGAAGGCATCAGCATCAAAGTAAATCACTCGCTCATATTGAAAGAGCTCTGCCACCCTAAGTTTCAGGAACGATTCCTTCCATTGTGACTCACCCTTCGCAGCAGCTGCTGACACTTGGACCATTTTGATCCCCATCCTACGAAAACGCTCTTTACCAGGTATGTCAGTATTGTAGACTACCACGAGATCTGCTTGGTGTCGGGGCGCAGTTTCCTTGACAATGGAAGCGGACACCAAAATTGCACAAGCGATGTCTTCGTCATCGTCGGCAAGGTACCACGCGTACGCAAACTTGACAGGCTGCAAATTTTGCTCGACCATTGAATCATGCAACAAGCTTTCGGAAGCGAGCTGCTGGGGTGGGCGTCGAGTGCTGGCTGACGGAAGCACCATGCCCACAAGCACGATGGTGCATGCCCAGCTCACAGCCGGTAATAGGCGACATGAATACATGGAAACAAACAAGTCTCGCTACGAAGGGACATACACGCCTGAAGCCATTGGCAAGGCTCTCATCTCGAACTGCGGGCAACAACTGCTTTCAGAGCTGGAGTTTGTAGTTGGGCGTTGAACGGAGATTCTCTTTCTCGTTCTCATCTTCTTTCTTGTGTTATCTTGCGTTTCTCTCTCATTGCCTGAGTGGGCGAGCCCCTCGCAGTAGGGAGGAATGCCTTTGGTCTTTCTGTCTTCTTCCTTCGAGCATTGGGGATCACTTAAATCCCCCGGGCTCCAGGCCCCCCCCCCGTATGTTACAGAGCAATGGAGGGATTGCGAAGTACACGCTTCCCCGGATTTTATGTCGAAGGCCCACCCATGATGATGGGCTTTGTGGCAAGGGCATGTCTGCATTAGATAAGCGGGCTCCCCGGATCTGGAATGCTTGCAGACATGACTCCGCTCGCTCTCCCTCTCGCTCTCTTTGCTCTGCCTTGCTAGGGGCTTGGGCCGCGAGCAGTCCTCGCGACCTGTGTGGTCGTACTTATGCATGCATGCAGGCAATGCAGGTATGGTGTATAGCTTCAGCATACTGACATACACCTGCACAAACGTACAGTACACACCGGGAGCCAGAGAGTCATATCGCCGACTATGAAACTTGGGGCTAACCCTGCTGCTTGAGGACGGCCTCCACCGGGCGCTGGGGACTTGTGAAAGACTCGGGAAGCAGGCTGCCTGGCCGACAGGCACATGGAGCTTCGGGTGCGAAGTGCAGTGGAGCTGCGTGTCATCAGCAACACCAGCTGCTATCGCCGCTACGACGACTGTCAAAAGGAAATCGCCGGCATCAGTCGCAACATCATCATCACCAGCAACAACAACATCACTGTTCAGATCATTCACACAGCCCTCCGCCCCTCTCATCAGCATCCTTGTCATCGTGATCGTCGTCCTCATCCTTATCACCATCCTGAACCCCAAAATCGGCACAACCTTCATCATCCCCACCAACATCATGATCGCTAGAATCATCAACAACAAGAACAGCAACATGACCATCATCAGCACCATCACTGCCATCAAACTCTCTAGTGTCGTCATACGTCACCAGTTGGCTGTGACTGCAGCAACTTGGCATAGTCTTAGCACCGGAAACATGTTATCTGTCCTTATTTCCTACGGCTGGTGATTTGTGTCTGCTGTACCTAAGAGATCTCAGAAGCGTTTGCAGCATCATCAAACACACAGATAACTTACATCGCGGTAGTATCAATGTAGTAACTACATGCAGCGGCAGAAGTCATAGTCGTGGCTTTCACTATATCAGAGTCTTGTGTGCGCATAAGCTCTCCCGCTCCCTCCCTGCCTTTGTGCTCCATGTTCCCTACCCACGCACACAGCCATGGCGAAGTCAAAGCCAAACACTATGTCGATGGTAACCCCAGTGGGCGCCCTGTTGAGTTGACAACCCTGGACCGGATGTCGGAAAAAAATGAATCCTCGCAAAACTGCTATCGCGCACAATGCCAAGCACTCCGGCCTGGCATGGCTTCGGAACCAAGAGGCCGTCGCATCTCCTCTCTGAGCCGCCCCGAATATGAAGAAAGCACAAAGCAAAGTAATCTGTTGTGTCGTTGTCGGTGTAGTGGTTCTCGCAGGCTGATTGACAGAACGTATACATCTTGTCATTCACAGTCGTCGTCGTCTCTGCGGTCATCGTCGTAGCAGCTCCATAGTAGCAGAAGCGGCAGCATCAGCAGCAGCTGCTTTTAGAAGCAGCAATGTAAACAGCATAATCAGGATCAGTCGCTGTTGTCGACATTATGAGGCACTGCAGTGATTTTTTTGGCACTGTTACTCTTACTCGAGCATTTGCTACAGTTGCTGTCGTGTCTATGAACCCGGGGATGAGGACGATGATAATGATGGTGCTGGTGATGGTGATGGTGATGATGATGAAGATTATAGTGGTGATGATGATGATGATGATGAGGAGGAGGATGGCAGTGAAGACGATGACTGCTATTCCCATGACAACGGCAATGACATTGACGAGGCTGATAACGATGGCGATGTTTATGGTTGACTGCATTGCCGCTGCCAGTAGCATGGTCAGACTATCACAATGTCTATTATCCCATTCGCAACATTTGCAGTCACTGTCTAGTACTCGATCCTGTTATCTCACTGCACATACACTATGAACCAAAAGCAGTTGGACGTCTGGGCAAGCTGCACCGGATCGTCGGTCGCTCTATAGCTTCGACAGCAGGAAACATCTCCTCCAGAACGTCAGGAACTCCATGGCGATCTGCATCGACAGGGTAGAGACCGTCTGCCTTACCTGAACTCGGCAATGCCGATGAGCCGGTGGTGGCGGCGGTGGTGGTAGTGGTATTTGGTAGTGGTAGTGGTGGAGGCGGTGCCAGCAGCAGCGGCAGCAGTAGAAGTAGTTTGTGCCTTCTGTTCCCACAAATTCCGTTTATCATTTGGAACAATCATCGGAATCGATTTCCCAACCCGGAGCTCGGACGATGGCCATCTCCCGGCACATCTCCGACGACGGCAAGTGGTAGAAGACTTCGGCCACCTCGCAAAAGGCCGTTCATTGTGCGGTTTTTTATCCATTGGTGGGCCCCGCGTAGCATTAATCGAGCAGCTTCTATCGCAAGTTTCAGGAGTCAGACTGCAAGAACGCTGTTCCTGCGGCCCTGGTTTTGCTTCCAAACTGTTTCTGAACCGACTTGGCCCTAGGATGCCTCACTAAGCCAGTCGGCAACAAAAGTCCTTAACATTCATCTCACCATGTTCCACATCGTCGCTGCTGGCGTCTGCAAGCTACCCGCGCTCTGTACATAACACCGCCTTTTGTCCAGAACCACGTCCCCCCAACTTTCTCTGCCTCTGCATGCATCCGACGCGACCTCTGGACGGAGAGAATCACTTATTGCTTCCTCTTCACTGTGCGGAACACACACTGTCGCAATAGTACCCACCAGCACATGACAGTACAGTCCGAGGTCACGATGTGTGAAAACAACTCTCGTTCTGGCAGCGAGAAAATCAGCTGAGTTCTGCAATGAGACGGCCTCCAACTCTGCAGGCGGACTTGCCGATGCCTGACCTGCACAAGCGCGTGGAGATTCCTGATGATTCATGTATCCGGCCTCCTAAAATGTACTGTTCTCTCCCTACCTGGGCCCAGAGGCCTTCTGTAGAGAGATGCGGGTGGTCGCTTTTCGCCCTCGGCTCGAGACCCTAGGGCGCAGGCATCCTTGTGCAGGCCCTTGATCGCGGAGACCCGGGCCCGCACCGAATCTTTAAGGGAATGAGGAGTCTGAGACTGTTGGTAACAATTGTTATAGGAGCAAAGAAAAGCTGCTTTATCCCGCGTCTGCAGTGCATGCTGAGACTCACCTTACCGTAAAAAGTCCTCCGTACAATATACGCGGCACAGCATGACCCTTCAGGCAATCACGCCAATTCTGCACCTTCACCCAGTAAAGCCTCCAAAACCGTGAAGCCTGAATTGACTCCCAGGCTGTCGAACCTCTGGCTTTGTGTCCAACTTACAGAAAAGGACGGAGAAGCACAAGGAAAGGGAAAACTGCAAAGAATCCAATCGAAAAAACTAACTCTGGCTCAATTCGGGCCTGCCAAAATCCTGCTTTCGGACAACGGCTTCGTCATTGGCAGCCTTGGCAGATGACTTGTGAGAAAGTCCGCGGAGCACGCACAGTCATGCACATGTGAACAGTTCATGCCTAGAACCAGGACAAGCTGACATGCAACATGTCAATCAGGGCACCTATCTGCGGGTCAAGGCCCACGAAGGATACCCACTGTGGCATGTACTGGCCTGACTGCATCTAGGCACTCGAGTCGTCATACGAGCAGATGCAACTTGCTGTCCTACAGTGTATGAAGTCACGCAAGACTCGCGCGGGGCCGGCGATGCGTAGGGAGAGAAGCCATTGAGAGGCGGAAAGGCATCTGCAACGGCTGCAAAAGTGGACATCGCAAGGGCTTGGGGATCTGAGGACCAAGCAGTGAGTACAGGTTGGTACAGGTTCACGGACCCAGCATGGTTGAGGGCTCTGTAGGATCAGTATTTGGGTTTTGTAATTGAAACAACATCGCCAAGCTATCATGTTTCTTAAAAGCAAACAGGCTGGACGCGTAGCTAATCTCACACACACACACATACACACACACTCACAGACAAACACGTAAGCAAACACAAACCAACAAAAAAGCTACTAGTAACAAGCAAACAAACAAACCTTTTGCAAACAAACAAACCTTCAAACAAGCAAGTAAGCAAACAGGGAACCAAACAAAACGGACAAAATACACTGGGTATTCATCCGCAGCCTCCAACCATGTCGGTCTGGACTTCTGGATAGAGTCAAGCTTTTTGTCTCTATGTTCGGTATTCAGGGGTCCGGGGCCAAAAAGGACTCAAGGCATCTCAAGGCTCAAACGATGGTTAGCTTCGCACAGGGGCGGCGAGCTGATCTTGGCACAGAGGCCCTTACTTTACACGTGACTGGGCTCTCCAAGCTATCGCCGCGGGGATCCATGCCCGAGCATGCAGGTACGTTTGCACCTCTGCGGTGTCTGGTCTTCGTTGGCCAGGACACGGCCCGGACAGACACTCACAGATTCCTGGCCCCCCTGCGGCCTGACCCACGCACCCACGCACCCACGCACGCACAAACACAAACAAAAACTAAACGAGCACACGAACGAAAGAACGAACGAAGGAACCAAGGGCGGGACGATTGGGTGAATTCAGATCTCATCGCTTCTCGACTCCGTGTGTCAAAGAGCATCCCAAGCATCTTTCAAACCGGAGGAAAGGTGTGGTGAAAGCAACTCGAGCCTGGCGAGGCACCGGGATGCAGAGCTGCTTCGTGACCAGGGTTCTTGGGCGGAGCAGGCTATTGGGTTCATGAAGCTGACGCAGGCATCTGGATCACACATAGGTTTGCTGCTGCCTCTGAGTCCTCCTAGCCTTGGTTCTCGAAGACCCTATGAGGTTCCATGGCTGTCCGACGCTAAACTCCCAGATCGCAGCAAAAACTGGCAGTGGAGAAGGGGTCACAGGCTCCTGTGATTTACTCTGGGGCACCCGGCATCTGAGAGCTTGAAGCCGCAGTTCCAGCAAAAGCGGGAGTCCGGAGGCACATTGCTCCCGCACTTCGGGCAGGTGCGGCCCGACAATGCCTCTGCCAGGCTGCTTTCTTGTTGACTAGGGTGTTAAAGAGGGCATGTATCCCATGCAAGATGGAACCTCTCGCACAGGTGCAGTTGGTGAACCGCTTCAGCATCACAGAGCAGATTAGGGAAATTGCAGCAGCCAGTGCAGGAGCAAGGGAGTTTCTTGCACCACACAGATCTGTACATATTCCGGGAGAAGACTAAGATGCCGAGGTTGATGGACTACAGTGAGAGCAACCGATATCAGCCCATGTCCCATTTCCCATCGATTAAAGTGGAAATTCGGGTAGCCTATGGCAGTATGGTAGCAACAGGCCAACAGAAGCCACTGCATCACCAGTCACCTGGCCTGGTAGCCGCCAAAGGTGCGGAAGGGGCCATCGAGGAACGGCCTCCAGTGGGCTTGCGCTGAAAAGTCACGACCAACAATGCGGGTCATGTTCTGTTCCGGTCCGCCGGCTTGTTCTCTCAGTGTCATCGTAATTATGTGGATGCCGATGGGGTCATATACTCTTGGAGGCTGGGTTAGCGGCTCGGGCATACCTAATCTGCGACGGAAGCTCCGAAAAGGACTCAATGCTGGCGCAGCTGAGGGTCAGACCCGGCATAGCCTGCGGCAGCACCTCCATAGACCTTCAAGATAGCCATATGTAGACATTCATGTAGTGCCGTGCCTTCTGACTTCTCAATCAGCATCATCATCTTCCGCATCTGCGTGCACAAGCTTGCCTACAGGTACTCCGAGTACATTACAAAGTGTCTGTAGATGGATCCGCGAACTCGGAAACAAAACGCACTGCCACCAAACGTATGGGGCAGGAGAATTTCCACGAGTGGACCACTGGGCCGCTGCTTCTTACCGACTCCTGGAGTTGCCTCCTTTCACACAAACGCCAAGCTAGGCAGCGCCTCCTCCGCTCTCCTTGCCGGGAGGGCCATGGGCTAAGGGCCGGGCAACGTGGGCAAGTCTATGAACCCCCGTGCAGTGCAAAGGTGGGCTTTAGGGATGTGAGGGCTCGACAGATGTGTGCATGCGCGTGTGTTGCCTGATGTCATAGGTGCATTCCTGAACGTCTAAACTCAACATCTGTGTGCGTGCATGTGTGTGTGTGTACATGAACATATGCGTATGTGTAGCTATACCTACCATCTACCTACCTACCTACCTACCTACCTGCCTACCTGCCTACCGACCTACCGACCTAGCTAGCTGCATGCATGCAAACACAGAGACAATCAGAGAGAGACACACACACACACAAAGACATACCATACCACACCATACCCTAGCGTGTCATACCATACCGTGCATGCGATGCCCTGCCATACCATTTCATACCAGACCTACTACACCTACTGCGACTGCTGCATGCAGACCTCCACTATTTCGAAATGCATATCATATGCATGCACCTGCATACATAGGCACACCATCCACAGATATTAGCGGAAACGTGCATAGTGCTTCCGTGCACGCATGCCATTCACGCATGTATGCGTCGTGAGGACATGCACATGCACGCGCGCGCACACACACACACACACACACACACACACACACACCCGCGCGCTTTCGCGCACCCA